AGAAGGAGCGCCCGCGGCGACGGCGCCACTCCAGCAGCGCCTCCCCCTCCCTCCCCCCCGCCGCCGCCGACCCGCCCCCCCCCCCGCCGCCGCCGCCCCGGCGTCTCCCCGCCACGGGGCTAACGCAGGTTCCTCCTTGGGCTGATGCTCCCCAAAGGGAGCAAAAAGTTGCCCGAAACTCAGGACTGCGGAGCCGCGGTTCTCCATAGCATGACGCCGACGCCACGCCAAGCCCCCGCTCGGGAGAGGCCAAGTTCAGCTTCCCCTTCGGACCTCCGTGGGAAGCGGCGCTCGGGGGCGTCGCTCGATTTCAAAGCAGGTCGGTTTATCTCTTGGGGAGGAAAAAGTCCGTCGGGCGAGGGGGCGCGCCCCCTTTCCCTGCCTTTTTCTCCCCCTCCCCCGAGGAAGGATGGGGCGGGGCGGGGCGGAATCTCCCACAAGAACCCGTAAGAAAGACATTTGCCACAAGCTCAAAGGCACGTAGACGCGCCTCGCGGAAATTGGGAAGCGCGCGCGTCACTCTTCTGGGGAGGGGGAGATGGAAGGAATAATAATTCAAGGAAGCAGGACCCCCGGAGCGGAACGGGGCGGGGCCCCGCGGTTAAAGGCTCCCAGCCCCCCTCTTCCAGCGCAGCGGGCTCGGCCTCGCCACGCCCCTCGCTTCTCCCCGTGGCATCTCTGCGAGAGTTGAGAGAGTTTGGGGAGCGTGAAGCTCTCGGAGAGGAAGTGAAATAAGAGAAGCGATCTTCGCCGCAGGAAACTCTCTGATACAAGTTCTTATTCCACCACTACCCCTTTTCTGGCTTGCGATTGGCAATTTGAAATCGGTATTTGCGTTAATGTGCGACGTAACTATAAGGTTTAAGGCTGCCATCTACTCCCCCAAAGTCCGTACTCAACGATGCATTGCACTGGAAGGGCTTATCGGCGATTCCTCTACACTGCATGGCCAACCGAGGCATTGCAGAAGAGAAAGGCTGGGTGCAAATGTGTCTGAAAATCATCCATGGGATCCCATATGGCTTTGCTCCTGCTGGGTACTCACAGGAGCACTCTCCCGACAAGATTCGAGCTGTCCGTGTGTTCTTATAGAGAGGTTTTGCTGAGGAACCCCTGCCCTGGGGTGAGCGAGATGAATGGGACCCCTGAATATGTGTCTTCTCAGTTGTTGTCCCACCCCCTTAGGAACACTCTCCCATTTGCAGCACAGAGTGTCAGTAGCCCCTTTGCCTTTAGGAGGATTCTCAAAACATGGCCATCCATATAATATGGGGTGCTAATGGTATGAGGGCCACCACAGGTAACGGGGGGGGGTGTCCGTGGAGTCTTTGGGATTCTCTGAGTTTGGTTCTTTTCTTGCAAACGTTTTATTACCCGCCTAGGTAACATCTTCAGGGCTAAAATGGGATGGGGATGTTACCTAGCCGGGTAATGAAACATTTGCAAGAAAAGAACCAAGCTCAGAGAACCCCAAAGACTCCACAGTTCAACCCTGAGCTACACATATTCACCTCTATGGGTATTGCTCTTTTCTGTCCTGTATTTTTGGATTGGGGGGCTTGGTACTGTTCACTGCAAATTGCCTTATATCCAAAGAAGTGTGCAGTATATAAAATGCAGCATAAAGAAATAATAAAATTGCTCTTTCTAAAGTGATACATGCAGTAGCCCATAACCAGTCCACACAGTTCTTGTTTATGTTAACAGTCCTGGCTTTCCTTGGTATATTAACAGGGGTGGAACACATGTAAAAAAGGGGACAAGGGTTCAATTGCCCAGTTGTAGCCATCATCTTGAATTTTTTACCCCTCCCCATAGATGGCACTGCACATTTATTTATTCATCAAACCTGTATCCCAACACAATCAAAGGACTCTTGGCAGCTCACAAAATAAGAATATACAGTAAAGCAGAAAACATAAACATGGAACAAATAAAACCCCAAACACAGTGTATGGCATCAGGCCCAAAAAGTCCTCCAGAAAAGCTCTGTCTTCAGCTTTTCCCCAAAGGCAGACCATGTTGGAGAGAGACAAATCTCCAACAGCAGGTCATTCCCCAGGGCCAGCCCCAACAGTGACAAACAACCCTTCCAGACTTTGATCCTCCTAAGCTCCTGAAGATGGGGGCAACCAGTTGCTTCTCCCAGCATGACTGAAGTGGTTGGGCCAACTCTAGTGGGAAGATATGGCCCTCCAGGTAGCCAGGCACTAAGCCATAGGGGCTTTGTAAGTTAAAACCAACACTTTAACATGCACCTGAAAGCAAATAGGAAGCCAGTGCAGGGCCTATAAAGCAGGCGTAATATATGTCCAACAGTCCACACCCATATGGGCCCAGTTTACTACATTTTGCACAAACTGAAGTTTCTGGGTGCCCTTTAAAGGCAACCCCATGTAGAGCATGTTGCAGTTGTCTAACCGGGTGGTGAGTTAGTTATGAGACACGATCAAAGCCAACACCAACCAGAGCATAAAACAACTGAAAGAAGCCGTGCAAGATCAGAAAGTGTGGAGAGAGATGGTCCATAGAATCGCCAAGAACTGGACACAATTGAACAGATAGCGTCAGCATCATCCATCTGGTTTAATCTGACGTACCAGAATGAAGATAAGTAAACCAATTGCAGATTATAATTCTGCCCTGTGGTTAACATGCTTCTCCTTAACTATAGCTTAATCAATGGCTTGGGTTTCAATGCCATGTTAGGCGTAATCCCATGCTTTAACATGCCGTGTGAGCTAGTGTGCATTCATATCTTGACTGTGGCTTTTCGGTGGGTACCTGGTTGACACAGGGCTGAGGAGGTCTTCGGTCTTCCTATGTATAGTACTGCTTCTCCTCCAAGACTGAATACAATGGACAATTCCTGTGAACTGAGAGCAGACCAAGCCACACTTCTATTATAGCCAGCTTCTTCTATTTATTTCTCTGTAGACTTGTTAGGATACTAACTAATGTGCATTGGCCATGTTAGCTAGAGCACAAAACAGACTGCCTTCATAATTGCAAATCTTCCACTTAAGTGTTCTGCAAATTGCAGTTTTAGTCTGCGCATAACAATTCCACTTTATTCACTAAGACGTTCCCCTGACTTTAATGAAGAAAGTCCAGATGTTTTGTGCCAATATAAATGAGTACAGAGTACAGCACTGAGACTTCTAATTAAATCATAAACTGCAAAATCCTGTGGCAAATTTATTGCCATTGTGAACACTGAAAAACTGAGTATTGCTTTAAGCAGCTTGCAGCCAGAAACAGGATAATTCATTTTCAATCACCTGGGGATTACACTGTTGCATTTAATCAAAACTAAATGAATAAAAGTCAGAGTACCCAATTTTTTAGCAATTTGAAATTATACTATATAATGTATCTTTAAAATCAGCTAATTTGGAAGGATTAGCCAGACCAAGAAAAATGTGTCCAGTTATACTTTCTGTCTACATATGGAAAATATGCATACAGTATCCTTGATTCTGAATTTTTAATTTATGGATGTTCCATGAGATAACAGTTATAATGTACAAGAAAACATAATATTCCAAAAGAGGGGAGGGCTCAGCAGGTATTTCCTCCCTGGCTGAAAATGCTCACATTTGACAAACCTCCAAATTGATTCTGATACAACTGAAGCTATTTGTAGTCTGGAATGGTGGAGCCCAGTACTAACCTTCTTTTTTCCCCTTAAATAAATTACACTATATTGGTCCCTAAGGACTGGGGCATACATATAATAATTTCCTTATATAATGAAATTAAAAGGGATACTTCTGCCAATTATTGCCCCATCATCCCCATGAGTTTAATCAGTAAGATTTACACTAAACATCTAAATGATACATTCTTCAATTCTTCCTTTAATATAATTTTTATTAAAAGGTTTAAAAACAATAATATGAACTAATACAAACTAAATTAGATCAGAGAAAATGAAAAAGGAAGATATATCAGAAAAAGCTAAAGGTGCAATAAGAAAAGAAAATAGAAAAAAAAGATAGATATAAAGATATAAAATGGGCTAAGAATGTTGGTTATAATATACAGATGGATCAGTGACAAAATATGTGGTGAAAAGGGTTGAAATTTACATTATGTTATGAACTTAAAGAGAATTTTTATGTGTATGATGTATCGGTATATGACACCAGAGAAATTATTTAGAATGTATAAAGGCATTTCAAACGTATGTTGGAAGTGTGAACAACATGAAGGGACATTTTATCATGCTTGGTAAACATGTAAAAAGGCTAAAAAAACATTGATTCAAATACACAGGATTTTAAAAATATTCAATTGAAGCCAGAACTTTTCCTTTTAGGATTGATGGACAGTTAGAAACAAGCTATGGAAGATTATTTCAATATATAATTACTGTAGCGAGATTACTATATGTACAAAGATGGAAAGATGTGGCATTACCCACCATGGAGGAATGGTTGGTGAAATTGACAGAACTTGCCGAGATGGACAAACTGACTTCTTTGTCTTCTGAAAGGACAATATCTACATTTATTGGTGACTGGAAACTCCTTATAGACTTTTTTGCATAAAACGAAAAAAAAAAAACTTGTGATTTATGGTTTTGGTGATTAGACAGGATAGATTATAGAAAGAAGAGAATCATGATATAACGTTAGAGAGAGAGGTTAAAATATAATTGTACTTATAACTGTTGTGTAGAATATCAGAAGCTACTTCTTAATATATTTGTCAATTTTGAATATTTTCTAATGGAAGAATAATCGAGCTTCAGAGTTAGCCACTCCCTATTAGACCAAACCAATATTCTACAACACTCCAGTTGTCAGTATTTTCAACACTACAATTGAAAATCATACTTCTAAACCTGCATTTATATGCA